TGTGTGTGTGCGCGCGCGCGCGCGCGCGCGTGTGTGTGTGTGTGTGAATTATTCATTATAATTTTTATTTTTCAAAACTAACGTCCATTTTAGACAATTTATAATTTACGACAGAATTTGAGACAGAATTCTATTTATAATTTTACGTGTCGTGTAATAAACAGAAAACATTTTAGAAATTAAAAGACAAAATACATCAGCTCAGAATATATAAACAACATTTATCAAATATTTTTTATTATAAAAATATAACTAGATTTTTGTTCCTAGTTTTGCCGCAAATTATGGATCGTTTAAAGCATAATAGGATGCGCTTTCTTGGTTTTACTTTTTCATTTGTAAAGAACTGCAACAATGACATACATTAATATATTTATCTTGTATCGTACTATTAGAAAATTTATAAATTTACATTGCACTGTGTGTTACAAAACTAACTTGCTACCAATCTTGTTTACCTCCGTTATAATGATTTCTGTAAAAGGAGAAACCAATTTACTCAGCCATTAAACCAGTTTGATCCAGAGTTGTTGGCAACCCGTTTTATCTGCGATCCAAATGGTTGCTGAAAGTTCAGGCGTTGCCACTAATTTATCTTCCTGATTCATTTCTCTCATAGAAATAATTTTTTTTTAGTTTAGTAGCTTAGAAATAAAATTGTCCCAAGTGTACAGCATGGTCTTAGATTTACGTTATAAAAATAATTTATATTGATATTTATATAATTATCCACAATTTTAATTAAAAACTCATTAGGAATCATACTACTCTGTCTTACTCGCGCGCCTAAAATTGCACACTCGATGAAAATGAGGTCGATCGTCTCGAGTCAAACTGTTGATTTCTCGTTGCACAATTGGATTCACAAATGACGAACTTTCCTCGCAATGCTCGTGTTATTACAGTTTTATTTGCGGCTTGCACCGTTATTTCGCTGAGTCTCCTTCAATTTGCAGCTGCGACCCACACAAAGCTCATAGGGAGACCGTATACCAATTATTTCATTACAATCAGATTCCGGAGACTAATGATCGCAATTTGTCTGAGACCTTCAGAAGTACCGCTCGCCAAATACGTCGATGATTCGTATGTAAAATCCCGAGCCCGGAGGGGCAGAGATTTATTTTCGAGCGCGTGGCGCAAATGGAATTAATGAGTGCCGCATATAAGCCTCTCGGTACGGCTCGTCCATATTTCGCATACCAGTACAGGCCGCAAGAATCGTTGCGTGAATGTAAAACAACATTTGCGCAAACTACATTTCAATTTTAACAGATTTAATACGCAATGCGTAATATTATCAATAACATCGTAATTTATTATTGATATCGAGAAAGATCGCGAGAAAGATTTAATTAGGCCTTCGCGGTGAGTAAAGTAAGTGGGCATAAATTCTGTTAAGCAATTACTTGATAAACTGTTACGCGTTTGATTTGAAAGGAAACCACGCTGATACAGCATCTCATAATTACGCGCACAAATATGTGCACTGTCACACTCATGCATTCTCCAATAAATATGATCACGAAATGCAAAACCATGCAATTAGCCGCACGGTTGAATTAGCGGATACATAATGATGGGATTATACTTTAATACATAACGCGAGAGATATCCACAACATTTTCCCTCGATATTACCGTCTGATTACTTGCACTCCACTTCTCTAACTTTGATGTATTATTTACGTTTTCCTCTATTGAGAAAAGAACTTTCGATGACTCCACTGATTGTGAGTAGATTTTTTCCGAAAACCACTCCAAGTTCTAGTGTAGCGCGTATATTATTATAAATTCGTGATTTTTCACATTTGTTAAATCGTTAACTACGAAAATATTCATGCAATTTTTATAAATATATTTTGCACTTCCGTTTAATATTATTGTAGCCTGTAACTGACAAGTTGTACTGACACGCTTGACATACGATACTCGTTAATTCTGCGAACAAAAATTCTGAAATTCTCGAAATTTTCATAATTTACAAAAAGGCGTCTGATGAGAAAATGATGGGCGACGGGCGATGAGACGCGCGAGGACTCTGGTAATTCGAGCGAGTGGCCGCTTTTAAATTAGCATGTCAACTAGAAAGCCGGCGGGCGATCCGGGAAGCAATCTAGGCAACCTTGATTGGGGCACTGCGATCGCAAGAAAATGACTTGACGAAGTCAGTCTGCATTAACTTTGCGGCTCACGAAAGTTACGATTAGATTGTGTGTATAGGAAACGACCAGGCAGAACTAACGATGAATGATAAGAATATGCCATGCGTTGACCTACTTTAAAATACTTTCATTTATATGTCGTTGCATGACTACTGGCCGATAAAATCGTGCGAAACTCACGGATCTAGTTTTGGCGTGTTTATGAAGAAAAAAAAATATACACGTCCCATCGATTTGACGATTTGAGTTCGAGCGGTCGTTTCGATGACGGCTAAAGGCGATTAGAATTGGCGAAGCGTATCCTTCCATTAGTGCATAAGTGCCTTCAATCTGTCATGTATATCGTGTCATTTTGTCACGTAAGTTTAATATTTCTAATTTTTAACGTTAATCAATGCAAAACCGTAAATTGATTATTTTTCTTCATACATATTGCATGCTTATATATCATGCAAGGTAAAATATGAGCAAATTGTAGCAAGACGTTTGACACACAGCAATTCGAGCATTCTGCAAATCAAAATTTGGAATTTCTCGACGACGAAGGAAACTGTTTTGATTTTTATTGATTGCTACGAAAGTAGGAAATTAAAGTTTTGGAATACTTCATTACACGCCAGCATGTTTCAATCAACTTTCTTAAATCATGGGAACTCGTAATCGCCATAATAAGCCCGATATTTGCTCTGAAACAAGCGAAGGGAATAGTTTCTACCCGTGCAAATTCAATGCATTCTAAATTAAAAAAAAATTTTATGACACGACATTCGATTTACGCTAAAATAACTTGTGGGAATTGCTCGCTTATTCCGTGACGGTCATAACGCAACGCATTAATTTCGAGCGAAAGTTGCAATTCGCGATTTACCGTTAATGTCGCGCGGCGTCGATAATTAAACTGAAATAATATTTCTCACCCGCCGGCAATTACTCATTTTCGCGAATTCTGATTGTGCCCTTCAGAAAGGGCGCGCTGATTAATGAAACGCAACGAAGTGGGCGAGGGGGAGGGGAAAGGGGGGGGACAGAGACTGGTGATGGGGAACGGAAGGCTGAACGCAATTTCAGCCGTCAGTTCTCGCGGGAAGATAACGGAGTGCCCTCGGGAATTTATTCTCGGGAGCCGATCATCCGTGAGACAGACGGCGGGCTTTTTGTCGTCACCTCGTTACGGTTAACGAATGACTTTCCGGCCCCCGAACGCGCCTGCAACCGCCCGCCTGCGTTTCCACATTCGTCGTGTGCCCGCCCGCCAAGTTCCCCGATAAACACGCCGGAGATTTATGAATTTAATTAAATCCCTATCAGATTCAATTCAATTGTGTCGTTTGCGGCTGATGCTAAAATCACGACTGCGCGTACTCATCAATGATCATTATGATTTATAGAAATCTTGTTTGTATCGCGCTGTCATCGCGAGTAGCCAGTTCACACGGAATATGTCCAAGTATATGTCCAAGTATAGCAAAACCGGTCACTCATACTGAATTACTTTAGAACCCGCAATGTGACTTAACTGCGTAAGTTCGTTATAATAGACAAAAAAAATATGAAAGAAATCGTGATTTATTACTCATTAACGTTACTGTGTTTGCAATTAAGCAAGTGTTTGGGTTTTTCTACAGTTTGAAAGAGAAGTCCTATTTTCTATACAGACAAGAAAGTTATTGTTTTTAATGCTATAATCCGAATTATGAATTAATAGAGTATATTTTACAGCAGAGTTAAAAAAACACGGTACCGAATAAACTTTTACGTAAGAACATAGCTCATGTTAAATAAATTGAAAAAAATATAACAAGGTAATCATTTTATCTCTAGCATATGAATCGTTTAATTTCAGTATTCCTTTTTTAAAACCGGTTAGATATGCAGGATATGTATGCAGGTATGTAAATTGTTCCACTTTTTACTATCGGATCAATTTTGAGCTAAAATCTTACGTTTAAAATTGACTGTTATTAGAAAGCGATAATATGAGCGAGAAAATACTTCTTATTTTTAACAATCTTTAAATTTTGAATTTTAAATATATTTTTGTAACTTTTGTGGTTTCTAAGTTTCGTTAGAATTCATAAAAATTACTTATTTAAAATTATTTTGAATACAATATAATTTTCAAACAATTTTTCGCAAAGTTTTTTTAAAAAAACGCCATCTTTGATAGATAATTAAAAAAATTATTAAAATTTTAGCCAAAAAATTGAAAGCCAAATTTCTGTTTATTTATTTATGAAAATAAAATAATCTATTTTATTAAAATAATCTATTTTATTAAAATAAGCCTATTTTATTAAAATTAATAAATAATATTGAAACAATTGGGCTTATAAGCCAAAACGGATGGCAGTGCTTATTGTTTACTCTATGTTTATATTATCGTAAACGATAATTTAGGTTTCTCTCACAGTTCTCTTTAGTACATTTACAAAACAATGATGAGTCATTCATTTTGCTTTGACCTATAAGCCTAATTGTTTCAATATTATTTATTATTTATTTATATTTTTTTGTATGCAACAAATATTAAAATATTTTAAAAACATTTAAGAGAGCTGATAAACCTATTATCAAATCGTTAAGGCACGCGTGAAGCATGATTACCGCGTCGAAATGCATAAGCAGGTGCATATGATGTCCATTGCGGTTGACAGTTTAGATAAGCGCGAGCATAAGTGCACGCGCTAGTGCACCAAGATACATTTCTCTCTATGAACGGCATGAGTTCCACGGTATAAGGTATGTTTTCGATAGGACTCGGTGCATATATACGGCGAGCGTCTTATAGGAACTTGCAGTTTAGAACTGAAAGAGCGTCGACGTTGAGCTACGGTGTTACGGTGTTATCCTTCTAATCAGACGCAATCAAAGATCTGGATTGACTTTACCCTTTTCTATTGGATAAGTGCGGTAAATATTGTAAGGTGGAAAATTTCAATAAAACTGTGTATCTTAATCGACATTGTTGTTTAAAATTAAAAAAAAATTAACTTTGCGGAGATTTTATGTTTTCGTCATTTTATAGAAAATGCAATTTTTTTTTCAACAACACACACACACACACACACACACATATATATGTTGTATAATTAGAAGCACTTTTTTTGATCAATTTTGACAGTTGAGTAATAAATATAAAAATGTGACTGGTCGTTACTTATCTTATAATATTTTAATTTCTTACAATTATCTTAAGAATAAAATATTCTACTAAATAATAATTCTGTTAAAATTAAATTTATTTAATATTGTTTAAAAAATAAATTTTTGGTATTCTTCAACAGTGTCGCAATTAAATTTCCGGAAAACTTTTGATTTTTAATTAACAATTTTCATTGTTAATTAATTGTCGCGTTTAGAAAATTTATTTACACATATTAACATATATTTGATATTATAAACTGATTAATGCGTCATTCGGAATGATATATAATATGTAATAATATGCGTATCTACCGGTTAGGAAAGTAGTATGCAGGTATATGTAAGTATAAGTTTCACACTAATCTTGCTATTTTGCCTAACTTAAAAATTTCATGATAAATGAGGAAAACATATTTTTCCAATAAAAATTTAATTAGCAATTACGTAAATGTGTTAATATCGTACTATATTCCTTCTTTATTTTTTGCAAAGATCGCTACATAAAATCTAAGGCGTATGGCATGCACATTTATCTGTATCTTTTTAATTATATAAAAATGCAAGTTGGTACATATATATCTCTATGAAAACATGATAAATAACATTAAAAAATTAGATATTATGTATATATATCAAACATGCATATCTAATAATGCTTTGTTTTCTTTTCGTTTCTTGCAAAAAATTCTGCACCAAATTAAAGACGTGTGAAAGCACACGTATACATATATACATATGAAATTAATTATATAAAACAGTGAATCGGGTGTATATCTCTGTAAAAACGCGCACGCACGCATATTAAAATATTGCTCACGTGCGCACGAATAATTAATGCTTTTTTAAAAGTAAATTCATAAATATTCCTTTAATTGCAGATATTAGTTTGATACGGGAAATTTGTGACATTTACATATACAGGGTGTCCGATAATTGCTGAATCACCTCTCGGGTGCAGGTAGAGCGGGTTAAACCGAGTAGAAAAGTCCTCTATCGTTTTGAGATTTTCGCAATAATTAATGAGAAATTAATTAAAGAAGATCGGCCAATTTGCGCGAGTCTAAGCGCGCGGCGAGAAGAGACAGCCCGTTGTTACGTGGTCGTTAGGACGCAAAGATCTAGCGTTACACATCGCTCGTATGTGCCGTTGTCATTCATAGAGCGCTCCTCCCAACGATTTATCGCGCGCCTAGTAACAAAATAACAGTGGGCTGTATCACCACGGGTCTCTTTTCGCCGCGCTCTTAAACTCGCGCGAATTGGCCGATATTTTTTAATTAATTCCTCATTAATTATTGCAAAAATCGCAAAATGATAGAGGACTTTTCTATTCGGTTTAAACCGCTCTACCTACACCCGAGAGGTGATTCAGTAATTATCGGACACCCTGTATATATCTTAATGCGATTAGTGTATTTATGTCACTATTTTCCTGACAGAAATATCATTACTGTAGAAAGCTATTTTTAAGATAATATATAAATATATTTTTCTATATATACAGAAATTGAACAGCAAAAATGAGTGGCTATTGTGTTTGGAATTGCGCTCTCGTTTCTGCCCTCTTATTATTCCGGATTGGAAACGTCGATGGGATTCAAATATGGGGCATGCAGTTCGGACGCGCACCGCTTTTGGAAAAATTCACGTGGAAAACGATGGACTTCGCTTATCCGGACGAACGTAGCAGACAGTTAGCGATAGCGAATGGCGAATACGTGCCCGAGAATTCTCTGCCTGTCGGTATCGAGATCTGGAAGAACAAGCTCTTCGTCACGATACCAAGGTGGCGCGATGGTGAATGTCAAAAATATTAGTCATTAATTACAAAAGCCTTCGCTTTTGTCTCGATTAACGTCTTACGCGACGCGACAGACAAACGACGAACCCCTTTGCGCCGAAAACCCGAAGCGCGACGCTTCAAAGTCAGGAACCGGAAGCAGACGCTGGCATAATACGCGAAAGATCGCCATAGGAGGTACACGCCTCGATTCCCGTCTGAGCAACTTCCGGTTCGCGACAAAAAGCGCCGAAAACCGCGAGTACGCTCTCAATGGGGAGCGTTTCTGTCTTTGTCGACCTCCGCCTCCACCTTCACGAATACGGGTTCCCTCCTTCTCTCTCTCTCTCTCTCGCTCTCTGTTCCCGAAGGGAAGCACAGCGACGAACGGGTTTATTCAAGTCCTCACTGTCCTTTATTCATTCCATTTTTTTGCACGCTCTATGTTTATTATATACGTTGGCGCGCGCCACCGTTTTTTGTGTCACACAAAGACCGGACAATGACGGCGGCACGCTGTGTAAGATCTTTAATGCGTTCCAGGCCTCTGTCCTTCTCTCTCACTTCCTTCGGAGACGTTCGCCAACTCCTCGCAATTCCTTCCATTCGCGCATTTCTACATCTCTCTTGCATCTCTTTCTTCTTTTTACGCCCTCTGCGTTAAACTGCATATCGACGGTCTGGCGTAACGTTTGTTTTATTTTGCATTTTTTTTATATGTTGCGTGCTAATTGTTGTTAAATGCAAAAATAATTACACGTTAGATAGATGAACATAATAACATAACTGTAGATTTCAAGATTTATTGCTTTGAATATTTTATATTACATCACATAGGAATACCGTCTACGCTGAATTACATACCGCTGGACGCCAATCGAAGTGGATCGCCGAAACTTATACCTTATCCAAGCTGGGATCAGAATAGAGCCGGTGCCTGCGGCAGCGGATTGACTACCGTTTACAGGTAATAATTACATCAATTCTTACAAGTCAATTATATAATAAAAATATCTCAATTCTTACTTGAATATGAATAAAATTTCTGTCGAAAGCATTCTGTAAATAATATCCTTTTTTCCAGGATTCACGCAGATGAATGTGACAGACTATGGGTACTGGACACTGGAACAATAGGAATCGGTGACACAACTGTGCAAGCCTGTCCTTACACTTTGAACGTATTCGACTTGAAGACGGATAAACTGTTGCGGCAATACCGACTCAGATCGGAAGATATTAATCAAGTAAGCAGCTACTTTTGCGTTTGATTCACATGTGTTTTATATTATTCCTTCCTTTGATTAATCTTTGTATTTTTAATTTACTACGTAGAACACTTTCATCGCCAACATCGCGATTGATTTGGGAAAAGGCGGCTGCGACGATGCTTTTGCTTATATGTCCGACGAACTCGGCTACGGCCTGATCGTATATTCATGGCAACAAAACACATCCTGGCGAATAACCCACAGCTATTTTATGCCAGACCCTCTAGCTGGCGATTACAATATCGGAGGCTTGAACTTCCAATGGGGAGAGGAAGGGGTTTTCGGAATAAGTCTGTCGCCAATTGCAGCGGACGGCTATCGAAATCTTTTCTTTCATCCTCTCAGCAGCTATCGGGAATTTGCGGTTTCCACGAGAATCTTGCGAGATCAGCAATTATCGCAAAATAGTTATCACGAATTTCAGGTTTTTTTTTTATTTTCCTTCTTCAGTATTTTTATTTAACAACCACTTGAAGAATTTTTCTATTTTTAATTTCGATTAAATTTTTATCCAAAATTTTCTATATTATTGTTACGAAATTTTACTCATATTTTAACATTCTTTAACAAAAAAATTATTTTCACATAAAAAGTATTTATAACAAAGTATTTCTTGTTAGAAAAAACTAATTATTTTTATATGTAGGTGTTGCCATCGAGGGGAGCACTTTCTCATTGCACCGCATCCGTAATGGACGAGAATGGACTTCAATTTTTCAACTTAATCGATCAGAATGCAGTTGGTTGTTGGAATTCTATGCTACCTTACGCGCCAATCAATCAGGCGGTCGTCGCCAGACACGATGAGGCAATGATATTTCCAGCAGATATTAAAGTACGATCGATAAATATATAATTTTCTGTGATCAAAGATAATTATCTGTTGCCAATTGTTATAACGTTTGCTTCATAATTTGCAGGTGAAGCACGGTTTACTCTGGATTATATCAGACCGGATGCCGATTTTCTTGCTGTCGAGTCTAAATTACACAGATATCAACTTCAGAATACTCACTACACCAGTTCAAGCAGCGATCGCTGGAACGGTATGCGACAACATGCCTTGGAGACTTATTAACAATCATATCTGGTGGAAGTGACAGTTCATTGCATGCCGATTTCTACAGCCAGATCGCAGTGTGTTCAATTGTGCCTTCGACTTTTGCACTTGAGAATATATTTAAAAGTGACAGAGGACGCCTTTACGTATTTCCCTCTCCATTCTCTTTTCTTATATATTTTCTCGAAGGTTTAGACCTTCTCGGATATATTGGACGTGTCTGACATGTGAAGCGGCTCGTTTTGGCGGCTCGTGCGGCGCGAAAATAGCGAATGGATTGGCGTGAATCAGCATCGGCGTGCCCCGCAGGAGCCAAATGGTTCAACGTGGCTCATTAGTTTTGGCCCTCGTTTCCGATAATTTGAAGGCGACCGGCCTGCTGTTCCTGCGGCTTGATATACGATCCGATATTGCTTCCTTCGAAAATTATCCGTTTCACGCCCCCGCTCGTAAAATATGGCCACGCGCTTCGTCCGTTTTCGTGTAGGGCTGCAGGATTTAGAACTCTCTTTCCTCTTAGGGCGACTACGCGGCGCACGATGCAGATTTGTTATGGTTTTTCGTTCGACGCATCAGTTACGCGTGTTCGAAGTAATTGAAGTCGATTGAAGCGCCGTCGAGGCGGAACTTTTGCTAAAAGCCATCATTATGTCGCAATACTAATATTTCCTGATTTATTAAACGTATCCCGGCTACATATATGATAATATCGCGTGAATATATTGTGCGCGATCTACTTGTCGGGACAGCGAGTCGATGATTTACGCATAGATCATAGATTATGCGAGTCGATATTACGCATAGATCACGGGTGAGATCTATCCTACAGTTGTGCAGCCCTAAAATTTACGTGGCTGCGGGTCCGAGAGATCCGCGAGTGAGATGCGCACGCCTCAAATGCTAATTCCGAGAGGATCGATAAATCGATAGATCGCGGCGCTCGAGACGACTAACTGGCGATTAGAGGGCCAGCAGATACGCCATGCCGATCGTATGCCGCGATATCGGTGCGTTTTCAATTTGGAAAACGAGTCTTTCCGCGTGCTGCATCTCGATCGTGATAAGGCTGAATCTTAATGGTTTTGGAGCTGTCTCGTTAGCGCCTGGACCGCGTGCATTATAGATCGAAGAAGAGGATCGATCGAATCTGTAATGAATTAGATACGAGCTTGAGGCATGCCTCAAAAGTTACCTGAATTTTTTGTATTTTTCTTTTCATTATTAGGGAGAATATTATACGAAAGATTCCATCGTTAAACTCCTTTGCAACAATGTTTTTGATAGGAAGCGTAGTATTAATGCGATATTAATGACACTAGCGACAAATAAAATTCGTGCATAATGCGTGAAGGAGTTGGCACAATTTGATGGCGGTAAAAACGATAATTTACTGCTGCCCGCATAGTTTTTTATACGTGTAGGTCAACTAGCTTTAGACTCTCGAGGGTGTTGCTCACGAGTTCGTGGACGCGAGTCGTAAAATCACCTTTGAATGATGAGAAAAAATGGAGAAGGTGCGAAGGGAAGGTGGAAGGTGGCCCCTGCCTGAAGGTAAATATAAAAAAAAATTGGTTCGAAACTGCTGTGCTGATTACACGTTATGTGCGAAAATTTGCCATCGCAGTGGCGTGTTCTAAAATCATCTAATTTGAAACAACAATTTTGCAAAGACTGTTTTTTATAAATGCAATGCCTCTTAAAATATATCTATATCATATATATTATAAGAATTTTTCTGTTACAGACGCTTATAAAATAGGCGCAAATGAATAAGTTCACAAATGCAATTCACTATGTATTAATAATAATAAAATTAAATTGTATTTATCAGAAAATAGACATAACTTGTATATTCCAACTAAACGTTTAGTTTTCATTAAACAAAATCGAAATATAAGCACTACCGGGAAGGAAGATGAAAAATCTTCTACGCCACTGAAACGAGGACCGGCCGATCGAATTTCAGGGCGAATAAAAGTACACGGCGGCTGGATTTCAAATCGGCGCTATCCTTCGGTTTGTTTTAAATTAACACCTACCTCGGCGTGAATGCACAGGCACAAAGCACACTTTAACACCTTTTTAAAAGGTGGCTGCACGGCGGCCGTCCGCTTTTTTTTATCGGCGCCAGTAATTATGGGGTACCGGCGATGACGTGAGTCTCGTTATAAGTTACTCTCGACCACTCTCGTATCTTACAATCTTTTTGATTTATTTCAGTCTGACTCGAATAGGTTCTTCTATTCCTCACCGCTGAAATCTATTTTATTCTTGTAGAAACGCAAAATGTGTAAAAATCACACAATAACATTAAAAATTATTACTGTGACAATAATGTTTAAATTTTCTAAAATAATGTGCGAAATGTGCACTTCACTACTATTAAATATTAATTTAAAAAATGTCATTTACAAACTTTAATTATATACAATAATCCACAAAAAATTAAAACAGCATTTTGAAGTTGTACTTTTATGTGTTTTGGCCGTTTTTGAACATTTTTATCTTTCTGAGTTCATAAACAAAACACGTCATTTTGTTCTTAAAACTATGTACTTTCAACACTCTGCAGCTTTAATTTTTTTTAATTTTTGTGTATATGCAGTATCAAAAACTATACTCACATATTGAAACTGTGACCTGTTTCAATTTACTGTGTAGTAATCGATGAAACGCCATTAATTGTGAATAGTAGTGGCAAATAATACGTTTTGGTAACGTTTGCTCGACACTTTAAGAAAGATTTTTGATAAAAATTTATACTTATTCTGCATTCATCATGCACTTTTATGGGCAAAATATGCGATTAATCGGGGACCTCTTGTGGTTTGCATTCTAAGCTAGCACCATATAGTAGAAACTGTTTTAGCGGCTGGAAAGTGATGTGTATTCCATCAATATCGGTCATTAATCATTTAATAATAATACTAACATTTGTTTTAATGAAATTGTTAAATTATGTACATGATAAAGTATATTAAATAAAGATTAATTTATCTTTATTTAATATACTTGGCAATCTTTTACATAACAAATAAAAATGCAAGATTATCAACTTTTTAATAAAATATTTTTAAAATTAAAATGTTCATCAAACATATTAATAGTTTAACTAGTTAATTCATTTTTATAATAACTTATATATTATTTTCATAAAAATTAGTGTAAATATTACGCAAACAAAACATTACATAAATAATTTACGTAGCAACAATCATGGCGAAGCATCAAATTGTGTAGCAATCTGTTACAACCTCATATTTTGAGTTTTATATCAATAATCATTGCTTAGTAACTGCCATTGTTATCCCTGTTGATAATAGCGTGTTAACTGTTGCCAATCCTCTGATATCATGGATCAGTAAAGAACAGGATACTGGCATTTGATAATCTGATACTGAAATATAACTGATAATAAATTTTATTCACAGTAAATTTTTCAATTGTAAATATTTTGCAATCACAATTAACAGTAGCATAATTCAATGTATTTGATATAATGATTACACATTATATTCTAATTAATTCTGACTTGATAATTTATAGTATTTTAACTTATTATAGTTTTATCAAGCATTTTATCATAGAAATGTTGCTTTTTAGAATCTTTTGACAAACATTTTATTACTCTTATTAAATTCAAATAATTATTCAAGTTATTAAACTATGCTTTTTCTCTTTTGCGTTAGCAATAACTGACAAGCATTGGGACGCGATGAAACATTAAACTACACTATGGCAATAATAAATTAAAAATAATTTTAAGTATGTATAAGCAGTCTGTATCAAGATTTCATGTAGAAAAACTGTAATTGATAGTTTGCTGATGTGTACAGCACAACGTTCAGTGTAAGCTATAGTTGGACGTAAAAATAGCAATATGCGACATCATGTACAGGACGTAAATGACATAAATTTTAAAGCATTTTGCGCACGCAAAATGTATAGAGACGCCAAATTGCAAGTTCTACGCTTCGATAATGATACAGTTGCCGGGACAGCAGTTGCAAACAAAAAATCGAATTGCGAAACTTATAGACTGTAGAATCGTCAGTTAAATTTTTTTACTCGCTGTGCTACAGAGAAATATAATATGTTTAAGAATTATTACTATTATTTTCATATACAGATTCTTTGATTTGCGTGTAATTTTTGTTGATAAAAATTAAATTGTATGTTATCACAATTATTTAATTTTTAGCAATACATATATTAATTTTTTAAATCAAGAATAATGTTTTCACAACAAATCAGATGAAAGAGATCAAGCATATTTCTTCCGATGTTTAAATGAGTGATAAATATAAAATTTAAATAAGCGTTTTTGGCGTTTGTGTAATCAAATTTTTTTCTAACGTTATCGGACGCAATAAGTAAAGCGGAAATGAACATTTTGATGTTTACATTTAAAGTTCTTACCATTTGCGGATGTTGGCTACCGATTTCGTGGACATCACGATACAAACGTATTATATATCATGTATACACGATCTCCATAATTTTTTTAACAAATACATTTATGTTGTCGCAACTGATGGATATAGTTTTCACTGTGAATAATACTGATGATTTCACCGATAATTTCTACGTGATGCTTGCCATGTTTGTGTCCTGCTGTAAGATGTTTAGTTTATTAAAAAATCGAAACAACATCGCGATGCTGATCAATATTTTGATGGAAAAGCCGTGTAAGCCCATTGAACATGACGAAATCGAGATTCGGCAGAAATTCGATAAATTCGTACAGTAAGTATTGCAAAATAATTATTACATATTTAGTATACAACATATAACATACAGAGAGTACAACTCTTTTTCAAAGCAAATTAAATAAAACATTAACTTGACATAATCGAATTATCGGCTTTATGTTAATAATTAATAATACGTAAAACACAAAAATGTCTACAGCTATTTTACAGGACAAACACGCTTTATTATGCGATTCTGGTAGAATTAACGTGCGCATTTGCATTGACGACATCATATTTCAGAGACTACAGAAAACAGAGATTAGCTTTTAGAGCATGGTTACCGTTTAACTATTCGTCACCGATGCTATTTCAAATTGCATTCCTGCATCAATTCACAAGTTTGATAATTGGATCGATTCTTCACATAGCTTGTGATAGTCTGATTTGCGGATTATTGGTGCACATATGCTCTCAGATAGAAATATTGGAGTGTCATCTGAGAAAAGTCGTAAATAAGCCACATTTTCTTCGCGAATGCGTAACACAGCACATATATATCTCCAAGTTTGTTTTTTGAATTAATATTATGAATAAAAATATATTTTTGTAATGTATATATAATTTTAAAACTGTTGAAAAATTTATGTATAAACCGATTAATTCCAGATTCGCATTTATGGTGAATCAAAAGTTTAAATTAACTATCACCATTCAATTCATAGTGAGTACGTTGGTAGTGTGCTTCAATCTGTATCAGATGACACAGACGAGTATGTTGAGTGCAAAGTATATTCAAATAGTATTATATATGTTGTGCATGCTAATACAAATCTCTTTTTATTGTTGGTATGGAAATGAAGTCAAGTTAAAGGTGTGCATTTTTACAATAAACATGCTTTCCTACTTTTTAGATATTATAAATTTTTTCTATATTGTGCATGTATTTTAATGTTTGGCGCAACAATAAAAAATTAAATTTATATTAATAAAATAAAATATTTAGATTACAAATATTTTGAATTAATTTATTAAGGTTATCTATTTGATTTTGAATCGATATACAAGCTCGATCGATTTCGATCAAAATAATGTATGCAATTTGATTATTTTATAATTAAGATTACTAAAAAAATGTTCCTGCATTTTTAAATATAGAGTCAACAACTGATCAGTAACGCGTTTGAAATAGAATGGTTTACCTTGGATCATAATATGCAGAAGAATTTATTGATGATTATGACACGCAGCACAATACCTATTCAGCTCAGTAGTGCTTTGGTTATCCCTATGAATCTTGAATCATTCGTCGGTGTTAGTATAAAAATTTACTTTTATTCTGAAATTAGTGTAATTTATTTTACATTAATAAATATCATAAATAATAATAAATGCGCTATTGATTTTTTTATATCTCAACAACATGTAAAGTAAAATTATATGTATTAACACTATATTCTTTCTTTAATATAAAGATGCTAATTACAAATTATTTGTAAAAAATTAAGGTAAAACTGCCAAATAGAGCATCACCCGTCAATGATCTTGATTTTCACCAAAATTAAAGATTAAAAATTTGTTTTTCATATATGTTTTTTGTTGAAAAAAAAATTAGTTATTAATTACTAAAAATTAATAAAAATGGTAAGCAAATAACTTTGTTTATTGTAGTTGCTCAAGACATCGTATTCTGCTTACAATATACTTCAGCAAATGCGGGATTGAAATAGTTAAAAAAGTAGAAAAAAGATTAATATTATATTAAAAGTAGAAAATAGATTAATTATATATGTATTTATATAAAGCTTCGAGAAACATATATGAAAGTATGTGTATGTGTAAAGAATTTAGTTAAATTATTGCAATTAATGCTCTTGTATACTAACAAACAATGTAGAATAAAGTGTTATAAAAAAAGTATCTTAAATTGTATTGCTAATTGCACAATATTCTATTAACACATTTATATTAATATTTTGATTCAAGATATTTTTACTTATTTTTGTCATCAATGGATTTTAGCTCCAGTATGTTTGAGAATTTATTTGATCACTTTATACGTGTATGTTAAAGATGCTTTATATCGTTCAGTTTGAAATAATCGTAAGTCAAGACGGCAAGGAGAAATTTGTTATCATCAACTATTCAACGTCATACAATCGTCTTAAATTATATATTTTCTTGCAGAAGTGAAATATGTGCAATATTACTTGCAATAATCAGAGAATTTCATTCTTTCTCTTCAGATTCCACTTGATGATATAGAATTTTACATTTTATTTACACGAAACTTTATATTGCGACATTATGATATGAAATCTTTATCTAGCGATATTCTCTTTTTCATGGTTGATGCATGAAAATATTATCCGAAGAATACAGTTTCAATCTAAATAATAGAATTCGTTCTCCACGAAGGGGAAAGTTGGACGAAGAATATCTTTGTCGGAAAATTGCGAGACTATAGACATTCGATGGTCATTAAGTCTAAAGGTTTTACTGCGAGCTGTACTGTTGCGAATACAACTGATTAATTGTTAGCATGCGGCGCACGTAATCTGTCTACTAAATTTTTTTCTTTCAATAAATATCTGCAAGTTTTCTTAACAATTTAATATTTAAGAAAACTGTTATATATTGGATAATCTATTTTTTGTCATATGTGAAAGATAGAGACAATCAGAATTACAATGCGCGTATTAGGATTTACATTTAAAATATTAACAGGCTGTGGTTGTTGGATACCAAATTCCTGGACATCTCCCTATAAACGTTCGTTGTATTATGTATATACAATTTTTATATTTGTACTGATAAGTACATTTACACTGTCGCAATTTCTGGACCTAATTCTAGTCGTGGACAATACAGATGACTTCAACGATAATTTTTACATGTTACTCGCCATGATTGTTTCTTGTTTCAAAATGCTTAGTTTATTGGCAAATCACAGCAACATCGCGTTGCTAACAGATATTCTCACGAAGAAACCGTGTACACCGCTCGAACCAGACGAACTGGAAATTCGACAGAAATTTGATAAACTCATTGAGTAAATATAATGAGATGACACATTTTATTGTTATTTATATTATTAAAATTGATTTATATTTTATAATTAGAAAATCTGCATAAAAAATTAGAGTGATTATATATTTCTCATTGTCAGTGAAATATTTAGAATTATTTAATTAATTTTTCTAGTGTAGTTTATTACTAATTGTAAATTAAATTTATCTGCTATTTTGTAATATATTTTTACGTAAGTGGCAGTACTTTTATTTATATTAATGTTCACAATAGATTTCGTTTTTAATTTCAAAACTATTTTATAACAATTCGTAATTATTAAAACATTCACGGTTTACATATTCAAAAAAATATTGAATAATAAGTGAAATATAAAACCGTCTGTAGTCATTTACAGGATGAACACGCTTCATTATGCGATTTTGGTTGAATTCTCAAGCTCATACACGGTGATACAATCATTATTCACTGCTTATTGGAAAGAAAAGTTGACGTTCAGAGCGTGGTTACCATTCGACTATTCTTCGACAATGCTTTTTAATTTTACGTATTTTCATCAATTGATAAGTTTGCTTGTTGGGGCTATTCTACATGTTGCTTGCGATAGTCTGATATGTGGATTACTCTTACATATATGCTGTCAAATAGAAATATTAAATTCTCGTTTCAGAAAGGTCATGTACAATCCAGAAATTCTTCGTGACTGCGTCATTCAACACAACCTTATAATGAAGTTTGTTTTATATGATTAATATTTATAATTTCTAAAATTATTCTGTTCTGTAGTGCTTCTTATGATTATAACATATATAGCCTAGCTTTCGTACTTGTGCCAGGCTAAAGATAAGTTGCAAAAATCTCTTATAGAAAATATCAACTAATATAACATGAATTTCATTTTAGGTTTGCTTTTATGGTGAATAAAAAATTTAGATTAACTATTGCCTTTCAATTCATAGTAAGTACGTTGGTAGTGTGTGTAACCTTGTATCAACTGACCAACACAAACGCAAGAGTTATCGAATTAGGATTATACATGTCGTGCATGCTGACGCAAATTTTTTTGTACTGTTGGTATGGAAACGAAGTTAAATTAAAGGTATATGGTTTTAAAATAACTATCTTTTCCAAATATGATTTTACTTGTCACATTATCCATATAAATTAAATATTCTATAATACCATTTTTTGTTCTAATAATTTTAATCTTTATATGAACTAGACAAAATATTTAAATATGTAATTTTTATATCAAAATGCACAATATTTTTACAATTAGTACCTACAATATCTTCTTCGCTTTAAATCAATCACCTTTAATTTTATGTAATTAAAATAAATAAATAAATATTTTGCATTTTTGAGTATAGAGTTTGCAACTTATCGATGACCTATTCGAAATAGAATGGATCGCGCTGGAACAAGATGCAAAGAAAAATTTATTAACAATCACAAGATGTGGTGTCGTACCGATCGAACTTACGAGCGCCTATATTATTCCTATGAATCTCGATTCTTTCGTGTCGGTTAGTGCAACAAATTAATTTTTACCATGTAATTTTATATTTATATATAATTAATATTAATATAATTAATATTGATTGTTATATAATAGAGTTTTAAAACATAAACTTTAAATTTATAAATATATTATACATTCGTACATTTAAATAATATAATAATAATTAATTAAATTTTAAACATTAAAAATTAGATGATGGATGATTTTACTTATTACAGCTGCTCAAAACATCATATTCGACTTATAACATACTTCAGCAAATGCGAGATGCAAGTATTGAAATCGAATAAAAGAAAAATTATTATCCAAATTTTCTATATTATAAATAATATTATATATTCTATATTATACTATATGTATGTAAAGCTCATGGTTAAAATAAAATTTTCCGAACACTATAATTAATTGTTGTTACGTTGTACGTTCTGATGGAACTTCACGATTCATTTATTTCACGCCAGTCTGTATTTCGTTAGAAAGTAGAAGCGTATTTAATATTTTATATCTATGTATAGGTCGTTCTTATCCAGATATGTACATGTGTATGCGGAATTGTAATTTATCACAATATGACTCAATATTAAAATATTTACTTGGAACATAGTTATACAAGTGGTACAGCCGTAAATTCCATATTTTCTGATATGCAATATAAAACACTATTATTGAAGATTTTCGATTTATATTTCTTATTTTTCAGTTCAAGTTTCTAATATTTAATTTCACAAAGTACCTTTTTCATGGCGTATTATTATGCGATGATATCTCGTAATACCAAGTTTTCATTTAACGACACGATGCAGTTGTATCGCATAAAAATATTATTACGTAAGAGGGATGGATTCATACATTTAAATAATAAAACTCGTCGCATGTGAAAGGGGAAATTGAGCAAAAGCATATTACATATTGTCGGAAGATCGCGAGGTTATAGATATGAGATGATCGTCAGTCTCTTTCAAGATTTCACTGCTATATTGTTATGAAAACGATTCTATATCACAGTTGTAGTCATTTTTAACAAGATTATTGACTAATAATTGTTCTCGTTTTTAACTGATAACTGACACGGCATACGTGTCTTATCTAATAAATTTGTCTATCAAATTAATTTGATATCAATAATTGTACACCGTATAAATGCAATTTTGTTTATCCATTTGAAATAAATAAAAAAAAAAGAATAACATATCTCCGATAATTTATCTTTTGTCGTATATAAAAAAATAAACAAAAATAGTGCAAGTTAAAATGCGTATATTGGGATTTACATTCAAAATTTTAACGAGCTGCGGTTGTTGGATGCCGCTTTCTTGGACATCTCCCTATAGACGCCTAATGTATCACATATATACAATTTTTATACTTATGCTAATAAATACGTTTACATTATCGCAATTTTTGGATATAATTCTGACTGTGGACAATCCGGAGGATTTCATGGATAATTTTTACATGCTGCTTGCCATGATTGTTTCTTGTTTTAAAATGTTTAGCCTGTTAATGAATAATGGCAACATCGCAATGCTAACTAACATTCTCATAAATGGACCATGTAGACCGCTCGATGTGGTAGAAGTGGAAATTCGACAGAAATTCGATAAACTTATCGAGTAAGTATTGCAACTTAATAGTTTTTTAATTATTATGCTATAAAAATTAAATAATTTATATGTAGACTTAATGAGAGAGAGAGATTTAAAGATATGAAAACTCACAATGTATGCCACAATGTATTCTAAATTAATTTTTCTTATTTTTTGTGTAATATTAATTCTCAGCAAAAATTAAAAAATTTTAACATTTTTGTCAGTGGCAATTTTTTATTGACAATGCATCGATGTTTAATATTTTAATACTTTACTTTCTATCAAATTTATGTATTAAAAATTAAAAATTACTATTAACCATTTTTTTAAATTAAAACTATTTAATATAATAAAAAAAATATTAGTTGCAATTAGTTAGTCTTGAAGAAAAATATTGCGTATTAAATGAAATGCAAGACCTCCTGCAGTTATTTTACAGGACTAATACTCTGTGTTATATGATTCTGGTTGAATTAACATGCGCATCTACGGCAATAGCATCATTGCTCACAGATTACAGGAAAGAAAAATTAACATTCCGAGCATGGTTACCATTCGACTACTATTCATCAACAACGGTTTTTCATTTTACATATTTTCATCAATTAATAAGTTTAACAGTTGGATCTGTTCTACACGTTGCTTGCGATGGTCTTATTTGTGGATTATTGTTGCATATCTGCTGTCAAATAGAGATATTGAGTTATCGTTTGAAAAAAATCGTACGCAATCCAAAAACACTTCGTGACTGCGTCATTCAGCACAACGTTATATTTAAGTTCGTTTCTCTAATTAATATCATAATTAAATTTCATTTTTCTACAATTTCAATGTAATTATGTCACAGTTTATTTGAATCTTTTACGGTATAAGAAAATAGTAAAAAATAGTCTTTGTGTAGTTAATATTGCATTTAACATATTTAACATATTTTTAATTTTTAGTAAATTATAATTTAATGCCTGTCAATCAGATATTTATTTATTTTTAATTTTTCATTATTATATTTGCTAATGTATCGATAATTAGAAACAATTTAACAAATTTCAGGTTTTCTTCTTTACTAAACAAAAAGTTTAGATTTACTATCACCTTTCAGTTTATAGTAAGTACATTAGTGGTGTGCTTCACTTTATATCAGCTAACCAAGACGAGTGGAAAATTCGTCGAATTAGGAATGTACATGTCATGTATGCTCACACAAATTTTTTTGTATTGCTGGTATGGAAATGAAGTCAAACTAAAGGTATGCGTTTTTGCAATAAACCTTTTTTTACTGCTTAAATATATTTTTTATAGTATTTAATTTAATTATACCATCTTCTAGTTAAATACTTTACGTAGTATTTCTTTTATTTTAACTATTCTAATATTTTTCAATTTTAACGAAAAATATTTTTTACTTTTCTAAGTTGTCCTAATAAAATATTTAAATGTTAATTGTGCAACTTTTACGATAAAGCACAAATTTTTAAATTATTTTTTTAAGATTCGTAAACAAATTTTGTGTTTTTACAACTGCAGAGTTTACAATTAGTCAATGATCTATTCAAAATAGAATGGTTTACGTTGGAACAAAACGTAAAGAAGGAACTTTTAATAATTACGAAACGTTGTACAGTACCTATCGAATTTAGCAGTGCTTACGTTATACCAATGAATTTGGATTCGTTTGTGGGTGTTAGTATAAACAATATATATTTACTGCATAATTATATCTTAGTATCACATAATTAATAGTAATAATTATTAATAATTTAAATAAAACGTATACATTCTAACATTAATTAAATTTGAAACATATAAAAAGCAACACAACTTCATTTATTGCAGTTGCTCAAGACATCATATTCCACTTATAACATACTTCAACAAATGCAAGATACAAGTAACGAAGACGCATAGAAAAACAATATTATTATTAAATTTTTTGTATAAAGATGTTTCAAGATTAGTATACGCTTAAAAACTGAAATAAATTATTTCATTCAATATTGGCAGTTAATTTTTATATAACTTAAATCACCGATATTAAATTATTATTCCATTACTTCTTTAACAGACAAATTGGAACTTAACTCACCGATCGATGCGCTGCAACGGAGTTGTCGTTCTGTTGATCTGCATAGTTAATCTATAAAACACGAAAATAAATCAAGATTAGAGCTGCGTTAAAAATAATTAATATTTATGAACCTATAACTGCATACATTTAATTTTCAATTCATTTTTTAAGTAAATATGTAATAAGAAATTTGTTGGAGAAAAGTTTATATATTTGAAAAATTAATAAATATGTAACAAATTTCTAATAATGATAAATATTAATTAATGTACATATTTTACTTTATTTATAGTCGTATTTATAGTCGAATATTTTAAGTTGTTTAATAAATTTAATGTGCGACATTTTCGACAAACAAATAAATCATTATTCACCGTAAAGTTGCTCCGCCGATGCCTGATGCTCCTCCTGAGTCTCCTCCTCCTCTCAGTGGTCTTCAAAGTTCACTCACACACATTCGCGACGCGAAAACGAAAATCGCACGGCACTCCCGAAGCGCGTTTTATACCATTGCAACTTTACGGCGAAACAATATTACAATGATCACGCGATATTTTAGACGACACTCCCGACGCGCGATTTATCCTGTTAGGACAAAAGTAATACTCGAATATCGCTCGCACGGAATACATTCGACACTTTGCCATGTACGCAACAGGTAACCAAGATGGAAAAGGAGGGGGGAAGGGCGATAGAAAATTGTGAGGAGCAATAAGCGTTGTAATAGAAAGATAACGCGCTGATATGCGAAACCGTCTACTTCGCTCAAGTTCTGCCGTGCGAACAATCAAAGAGCAAGGACAATGTCGCACCGGAAAATCTAAGGAAGGAGTAGGGGAAAAGAATGTACGCGCCGATAACACGTGCGAGAGAGAAAGCGTGAGAGTGAGGGAGAGAGGATATAAATACACTTCACTTCGCGAAAATTATTATTGATTTACATCGTGAATTTACCACGGAGCACAACGCGAGATGAAACGTATATTCTACTACTGCAACTCGTCCGCGTATCACTGTAGTTATGTAAACATTTTCGATTCCGGATTCGCACTACATACGCATCGATACAGCGTAGCTATGATCTACGAAATACCGCTAATCGTATTCAACCGCAGTCAAAATAATAAGTTCCGACACTCGACCGTTACTTTAATCGACACTCCCGACGAAAACTTGCACCAATTAGACGTTTTTAATGAATCTCTTTGATACACATACGCATTCTGAGTACACGAGAAAGACGCCGATTGTTTTGACGGTCTCGCGAAGGTCGTGAAATAAAAACACGTAGCTATACAACTTCGTTTTGACCGACGAATTAAACTGCGAGACGTTACATTTAAAAACAACATGCGCGCCAGAATCACTAACACGACTGAGTCAACTTCATGCGTAATGACGAAGCAGATTGATTTCTATCCGTCCACACTTGCCGAGATCGTACTGATTTCAACGCACGATGCATCCATAGTTTATCGCAATACATCCATGGTAAATAATACCGTTTTGGCAATCGTCCGTCATTTTAATCGACACTCCGTATAAAAATTCGGCACTTTTTACAGTATCAGAATCTGTACAACTCGAACTCCGGATTCGCACTACATACGCGCTGATGCAGCGTAGCTGTGATCTACAAAATACTGCTAATCGCGATCACCTGCAGTCAAAATAATAAGTTTCGACACTCGCCTGTTACTTTAATCGACACTCCCGACCAAAACTTGCACTAATTAGACGTTTTTAATGAGTAAAAGTGCACACGCGATTAATCATAAAACTTTTCCACCAAATGTTATGGCGAGCCGACATGATGTACTAAAAACTATTGAGGGTGACGACACTTGATATCGATATTGAACAATCTGCGCCATCCCTCGGTGATAATTTTTATTATGCCACGTCCAATAAGGGCACTGGAATTTTTTTAAATTGTTAAAACGTAATGAAAGGTGGCGCACATAGAGACGAATTTATCGATTTTGATCTTAGTACTATGCTATCATTGTTCAGTCGTCATGATAATATTTTTGCGGAAGCGTCAGTTTGGAGCGTAAAGGAGTTACGTGGATATTTTACTCGTTAAAGTGCGTACTAACTGCAAATTTTTGTCGAGAGTGTCGCTTAAAGTAACGGGCGAGTGTCGGAACTTATTATTTTGACTGCGGGTGATCGCGATTAGCGATATTTTATAGATCATAGCTACGCTGTGCGTATCGATGCGTATGTAGCGCGAATCCGGAATTCGAGTTGTACGGATTCCGATACCATAAAAAGTGCCGAATTTTTATCCGGAGTGTCGATTAAAGTGACGGACGATTGCCGAAACGTATTATTTACTGTGGATGCATCATGCGTTGAAATCAGTACGATCTCGGCAAGAGTGGACGGTTAGAAATCAATCTGCTTTGTCATTACGCATGAAGTTGATTCAGTCGTGTTTGCAATTCTGGCGCGTATGTTGTTTTTAAATGTAGCGTCTCGCAGTTCAGTTTGTCGGTCAAAACGAAGTTGTATAGCTACGTGTTTTTATTTCATAATCTCCGCGAGACCGTCAAAACAATCGACGTCTCTCGCGCGTACTCGGAATGTGTAAGTATAATATATGAAAGAGATTGTCGAAAATGTTTATATAGCTGCAGTGATACGCGGACGCAGGCGATGGAATATATGTACGTTTTATTTCACGTTGTGCGCCGTGGTAAATTCACGATGTAAATCTATAATTTTCGCGTAAGTAAAGTGTGATTTATATCCTCTCTCCCTCACTCTCACGCTTTCTCTCTTGCGCGTGTTATCGGCGCGTGCATTTTTTTCCTCTACTCCTTCCAAATCCCCTACTCCTTCCTTAGATTTTCCGGCGCGACATTGTCCTTGCTTCTTGGTTATTCGCACGATGGCACTTGAGCGAGGCAGACGGTTTCGCGTATCAGCGCGTTATCCCTCTATTACAACGCTTATTACTCCTCACAATTTTTTATGCCCCCCCTCCCACCCCCGCTCCTTTTCATCGTTACCTGTGGCGTACATGACAAAGTGTCGAATGTATTCCGTGCGAGCGATATTTGCGTATTACTTTTGTTCTAACATGACAAATCGCGTGTCGGGAGTGTCGTCTAAAATATTGTGTGTTTCATTGTAATATTGTTTTGCCGTAATATTGCAATGGTATAAAACGCGCGTCGGAAGTGCCGTTTAAAGTGCCGTGCGATTTTCGTATTTGCGTCGCGAATGTGTGTGAGTGAACTTTGAAGACCATTGAGAGGAGGAGGAGGCTCAGGGGGAGCATCAGGCATCGGCGGAGCAACTTTACGGTGAGTAATGATTTATTTGTTTGTCGAAAATATTGCACATTAAATTTATTAAACGACTTAAAATATTTGACTATGAATAAAGTAAAATATGTACATTAATTAATATTCATCATTATTAGAATTTTTTTACATATTTATTAATTTTTTAAATATATAAACTTTTTTCCAACAAATCTCTTATTACATATTTGCTTAAAAAACGAATTGAAAATTAAATGTATGCAATTATAGGTTTATAAATATTAATTATTTTTAACGCAGCTCTAATCTTGATTTATTTTTGTACTTTACAGATCAACTATGCAGATCAACAGAATGACAACTCCGCTGCAGCGCATCGATCGGTGAGTTAGTCCAATTTGTCTTTTTTATTATTAAAATAATGGATCGAACAATGGGATAAAACACATACTTTTGAGACACTTTGCTTTAATGCTTTTCATTTTTATTGTTTTATAATAATTATAAGAAAATGTTATTTTCACGTATTTTTAAAAATTCTGAGACTTATTATAAATAGATTAATAATAAATAGAACGAATAGCAGAATATTAAAAATATAATCATATACAAGAATTTTACATAAAATTATAAAAAGTAAAACTATTTTTACGATCCATTATTTTAAATGGATAGGCTAGGACTTTGTTAGATTAGTTGCTCATAATTTAACTCTGGAATATGTGTACATTACGATGCACATGTAAAATTATAAATTAAAGTGTATATTGCAAATTTTAATCTGAAAATCATGAAAATACTCATTTTAATAAGATGCATATTATTATTTATTTATATGATAGATTTATATAATAGATTTATATCATTTTTATTTATAATTTTTCATGGTTCTCATATTCCATGTACTTTTTTTTATTTATTTATTTTTAAATCAGATCTAGATATATTGGGTTATTCGTAAAATTTGTAGACTTTCTTAGGACAAAATAAAAAACAATTGTTATATGTTTATATATCAATTTTTATTCACTAATATATGCTCTGTTATTAGAGATGATTAAAGGATGTCGAAAACAACAATGCATACATTATTGAATAAAAATAGACCTAAACATACAAAAATTGCTTTTGATTGTGTCATACAAATTGCTACGAACTCTTCGAATAACTCAATATATTTCGATTCACTTGATTAATGTTTAACTTTGTTTATGTATTTATTTAAATTTTTTTTCATATTTTTTTATATATAAGGAAATATATGAGAAAAGAGAAAAAATAATATAATAACAACATCAAATAACATTTTTATTTTTATTTTTTTTGTCTATATATATTTTTATATCAGAAAAGAAATGAGAAAAAATTTGTCCTTTTTTTCTTTTGCTTGAACAAGGTAAGTGATTTGCATTTTTATATCCAGAGTTAAATTTTGTTCAAATTGGCGTGGAAAAGTCAGAGAAATTCAAAATACATATATTTGCAAATAAGTATCAATTAAAAATGAAAAACACATGTTTTGCATAACATAACTTAAGAATTGACATCATATTTGATTTAATAAATAACACATTTACAGTTAACTATTACTAAATATATATGAATTTTATGTATATGAAGTTAGCCCCACACTTTAATAAAACTAAAATAATCGAAATTGTACTGCATTGTACTAGTTTTGTACCAAATTGTACTGTAGTTAATTTTTTGAAATCACGCGCGGATTTCCAAAAAATCGAAATTTTTGAATTTTTTGAGTAGCCCCACACTTTTCGAAAAATGATTTTTTCTCGACTGTACTACATTGTACTAGTTCTACCGAACATTGTACCGTTTAAAAAAATTTCTAACAAATTTGGATTTTGAGAAAAACAAGAAAATCGAAAAATTTTGGACATTACGTAATTACGGCAAATCGGCTATTTTTTAAGATATCGAAACGCGGCCAACGAGGTTCGAAAGAGAATCGTTTGTACCGGTTTGTACTGCTTTGAATTTCGTTTGCATCTCAACCGGACCGCGTTTCGATATCTTAAAAAATAGCCGAGTTACCGTATTTACGTATTGTTAAAAATTGCAAAATTTGGTACTTCCGGTCCGGTTGAGATGCAAACGAAATTCAAAGCGGTACAAACCGGTACAAACGATTCTCTTTCGAACCCCGTTGGCCGCGTTTCGATATCTTAAAAAATAGCCGAGTTACCGTATTTACGTATTGTTAAAAATTGCAAAATTTGGTACTTTCGGTCCGGTTGTGGTACAAACGAAATTCAAAGCGGTACAAACCGGTACAAACGATTCTCTTTTGAACCCCGTTGGCCGCGTTTCGATATCTTAAAAAATAGCCGAGTTACCGTATTTACGTATTGTTAAAAATTGCAAAATTTGGTACTTTCGGTCCGGTTGTGGTACAAACGAAATTCAAAGCGGTACAAACCGGTACAAACGATTCTTTTTTGAACCCCGTTGGCCGCGTTTTGATATCTTAAAAAATAGCCGAGTTACCGTATTTACGTATTGTTAAAAATTGCAAAATTCGGTACTTCCGGTCCGGTTGAGATGCAAACAAAATTCAAAGCGGTACAAACCGGTACAAACGATTCTCTTTCGAACCCCGTTGGCCGCGTTTCGATATCTTAAAAAATAGCCGAGTTACCGTAATTACTTAATGTCCAAAATTTTTTGATTTTCTTGTTTTTCTCAAAATCCAAATTTGTTAGGAATTTTTTTCAAACGGTACAATGTTCGGTATAACTAGTACAATGTAGTACAGTCAAGAAAAAATCATTTTTCGAAAAGTGTGGGGCTACTCAAAAAATTCAAAAATTTCGATTTTTTGGAAATCCGCGCGTGATTTCAAAAAATTAATTACGGTACAATTTGGTACAAAACTAGTACAATGCAGTACAATTTCGATTATTTTAATTTTATTAAAGTGTGGAGCTAACTTCATACACATATGAATTTTGCTATACGCCAATTTTCTCGTAATCTTTCCTAGCTTGTCCATGCATCCGTGGTCCCATGGCTTAATTGATCTCATGCAGGATGGTTGGGCACGGAAATTCAAAATTCGTGGTTCCATCGATGATGGTCGAGCATGAATCTCGAAACAACTTTGATACAATCGACCATTGAATAATGGTCGACTATCAACACATTTCGGACGCAGCTAGCGGAAACTGAGCCGAGCTCTGCGCTAGCGTTCTGCGATAAACTTTCTTAAGTTTAAAATTTTTTATCAGGTATATTTTTCTGTTAGGTAGAATTTTTATTAGGTAGGATTTTCCATTAGAGTTTTCGGATAGGTAGGATTTTGAAACTTTCTATCGCTTGTATATTTTTTTTAATTCTTTGCTGTCGATAAACTTTGGAACTTCTGCTTTGGCAGTTAGTTTGCAGTTTATTGATGATAAAGATAATGACAAAATTTCGGGTGGGCAAATAGCAAGATTTCTGTTTCGCGAGAGCGAAAGAAGTTTCTTGTATAAGAAACATTATGTTAAAAATTTTGTTTTATTTTAAATTTTAATTGTTTTATCGATTTTAACAGGTAATTTCGTGTAGATTTTTCTTCGAAAATTATAACATGTGAGTTTTAAGAGAAAGTGTATAATATATTGTATTATGTAAATATTATTTATTTTGTATTATTATTATTTTGCATTTGTTTTTTTTTAAACACTTTTGATAAATAATACGTTTCACTTGGCAACTTTTATGAGATCAGCCAATTAAAATCGAAAATGTAACGCGGGATGGTGCTTATGATATAAAAAATGAAAATACTCTTAACTCTTTTTTCGATCTGTCAATATCTTCGCAATGATAGCCGTTCACGATATAAACTGAACGCAATGAAAGAACCAATTGGCATTGTGGAAAAGCGGCAAAAATAAACTTTGATACTATTGAGATAGATCGGTAACATAGTTTTTTAAAGAAAAGATGCTTCAACACGACAATTAATAAAATATTTCCTACTACAAAATATAGCATTATTGAAAACTTTCGAAGATTTTTATTCTTATTTTTTATTCTCCAGCTCTGCTGCCTAATATCTAATTTTGTAAAATGTTAATCTTAAAAGGCATTATTATGCAATGACATTGTAATAGTGAATCTATATTTAATGACTGCATTAGAAAGTAGACTTAGATACATGAAAATATTATTATGAGAAGGACATATTCTCGCAATCTGAATAATAGAAGATGCGCATGTGAAGGGGAAAGTTCGGTAAAACATTGCGGAAAGATCGTGGGGCTATAGACACCTTATAATCTTCAGTCTCTCTCAAGAATTTGCCCCATACTACAATTTTTTCCAAGAAATTCTTTTTCATCATATGCTATCGAAATCTGTGATTAGAGAAAAAATCGCCGATTGAGGTGTAATTTAGATAACAACTTATTCTTATTGCATAAACGTAGATTTACAAATTTATTCACAAATAATTATTATATATTATGCAGTGCCTGAAATCTCATGTTTAATTACTTAAAATTAAAAAAGAATAAAGATTGCTATATTTTCTAAAAAATGTGATTATATACTTGTTTTGGAAAACGAATATTAATAATATCGACGGAAATATATTGAAAATTGAAGGATGCGCGTATTAGAGTTTACGTTTAAAATATTAATGATTTGCGGATGTTGGCCGCCAGATTCCTGGACGACACCGTACAAACAGTTAATTTATCGCGTGTACACGAGTCTCATAATCCTGTTAATATACACGTTTATGCTGTCGCAATTATTGGATCTAATTCTGACTGTACGCAATGCAGACGATTTCACTGATAATTTCTATATGCTACTTGCCATGATCGTTTCCTGCTGTAAGATGATCACTCTGTTAATAAATCGCAGCAACATTGTGATGCTAATCGGTATTCTCATAAGAAGACCATGCAAACCCGTGCAACCTGACGAAATTGAAATTCAGCAGAAGTTCGACAAACTTGTGCAGTGAGTATTGATACATAATTTGACTATCATACATGAAATCAAAAGTTGAATGAAAAATGAAACGGGAAAACTTCTATAGTCATCTTACAGGACAAATACGCTTTCCTATGCAATTCTGGTTGAGACAACGTGTTTGTGCATTGCTGTGACGTCATTGCTGACAGAATTCAATAAAGGAAGATTGACTTTCAGGGCATGGTTGCCATTCGATTATACCTCGCCGTCATTATTTCGTCTTGTATATATGCACCAATTGATAGGTTTGACGGCCGGATCTGTTCTTCACGTGGCTTGTGACGGTCTGATATGTGGATTATTGGTACATGTTTGCTGTCAAATATCGATTATAGAATGCCGCTTGAAAAAAATCGCATGCAATCGCGGTATTCTTCGGGAGTGCGTTCTTCAGCACAATCATATATTCAAGTTAGTTTTACAATTAATATCACGTATAAAAATATTTCTAATTATTTCTTATAAAAACGTCACAGTATAATTTTTATTCGTATTTTTTAGAAGAAAAAAAAGCCTATAGATTTTAACATTTTTGTACATATCATTAAGTATATTTAACATATTTAAATTTTTAATTAATTTATTGTTGTCGGTTTTGTTACATTTTTCTTATTATTTAATGCGTTGATCATGTAATTTTAATTATAGTTTTTGAAATTAAAAGAATATATAAATACATTACAAATTGAAACGATTCTAACTTTAATTTTTAGGTTTGCTCGCTTAGTAAATGAGAAATTTAGGTTAACTATTCTCATACAATTTATTGTGAGTACACTGGTAGTGTGCTTCATTTTATATCAATTTACTAAAGTCGACTGCGTTAAAAGCAAAATATATGCAATTGATAATGTACATGGGCTGCATGCTGTCGCAAATCTTTTTTTATTGTTGGTACGGCAACGAAGTTAAATTAAGGGTATGTGTACTTTTACTGAAAAGTAAAATTTAAAATAAATTTTCTTGTCAATTGTAAAATAAATAATAGTCTTTAAATTGTTGAATGTAGAGTCGACAACTGGTCAATAACATATTTGAAATGGAGTGGTTTGAGCTGGACATTCCTACGAAACAATCTTTATTAATGATAATGAGACGTGGAACAGTACCAATCGAGCTTACTAGTGCATACGTAATCTCTATGAATCTCGATTCTTTTGTGGGTGTTAGTATAAAAATTTCTTGTTGTTATATAATTTATAGCTGATCATAAATTTTAAAGGTAGATATTTGGAGCGTTAAAACTTTTTTTTTTATAAAATTGATACGACTTTTTATTACAAAATTACAACTATTAAAAAATTTCTCTTTTTTAACAAAAATTAAATGGTCTTTTAATTTTTTTAAGAAGTGAATATGTAAATACTTAATTTTTATTGAATGACAATAATAACCTTAATTGCAGTTACTCAAGACATCATATTCGGCTTACAACATACTTAAGCAAATGTAAATGTTACAATAGCATAAAAAAATAAAACAAGTAATTGTTTATATTTTGCAATCATAATATATATCTATATCTTGCATATAAATGTTAAAAAGTTAATTTGATATAAAATATTTATTCAATGTTCATATATAATTCTTATATCACTATTCTTCATTAAATGGACGAATATTTGAAGAAAAACTTAAATTATAATTATTGCTGATTATACAGGGTGTTTCATAATGTCCGTGCCAACGCTCGTGTGCGAATAGAGTGCGGTAAACTGAATAGAAAAGTCCTTTACCGTTTTGCAATTTTTGCAATAGTAATTGAGATATTAATTAAAAGGGATTGACGAATAATCGCGCGTTGCGCGTAGCTAGATCGTGGGCTGTACACTCTAAACGTGACAACAACGAGGATCGCATGGCAACGAAAATAACACGTAGCGAGAGCAGGAGTGATATGCGGTGTTATTTTTCGTTGCCATGCGATTCTCATTGCTGTCACGCC